CTTACTCAAATTAATGATGACTGCCTTCTAGGGGTAACTTCGTATCTAAACTGGAACCTGAGTTCTTTAAGGAGAAGAGAGCTGAAAGGGACCCACTGCATTCATTTCCATGCTGCAGCAGGCAGCTGTGTCTTGTAATTGTTCAAGGTCCATCTTGAACTTCTCCAGCTTCTTGACCACAACCTTTTTATTGGATATCTATTCATAGCTCTGATGTTTAGATAGAAATCTTTTCCTGATTTCCACCAAAATTTATCCTTTGGGCTGTGACAAGATAGCTCTTCATAACATTTATGTATCTGATTTATTTATAGAGAGAAATCATATTCCTTCTCAGCCTTAATTTGCCTGGCTAAGTATAGTAAGCTATTTCAGTCTCCTTCCACAGCTCCCATTTTCTTGATTGATTTTCTCTGATACTCTTCTGGGTTTGTATTCAGTACTCTTCTAGAATATGTCTTTCCTGAAAATAGGTGACCAGAATTGTTTACTGTCTGTTGCTGCTAATAATGGGGTTTTTTTGATACATCCATCCTAAAGTTTTATTTCTTCTTTGCTTTACCAGAGTGAGAGCTACAGCATGTGAAAAAATTTCAATAGTCTTGCACTCATTATATTTAATTTTATTTGATTTCTATTACTTTGGTCTTCAGGATCATCTGCTTTCTTCTGAAAGATATTGTCATCTTCAGTGTTTGCAATGAATCAAAACCTGGTGTCATTCCAGCCAATTTCAGTATTAGGCTTCTGCTTCTGCAAGCAAAGACATTGATGTAACCCTCCAGCTGACCTTAGTGATAACAGTGGTCTTTTTTTTTTTCCTCCAGGCATATCAACTTTTACTAGTTTGTTGTCTTTTTTTAATTCAGCTGATGCAACATCTCCTGTGGTGGTGAATACCCCAAATGAATTGCATTACCTGTACCCTAATTTCTAGAGTTGTGTTGGCTCTCTCATCCACCCAAATAACAGATACAGATCAAAAGTGTGTCCTTATTCTTTTCTCATTTTTTGGTATGTTCACAGAGAAAGGACTAACATTGTTGAATACTGACTGTAAACTTTTACTAAGAGAGACATTGGGAAGGAAGATGATGCATGGCTGGTTATGCTTTAGAATATTGCTGTGACACTATATATTTACTATGGAAAAAAAAATTCTTAGATTAACTTCAGCTTAAAACTAACTGAAAAAATGTCTGTTTTAATTTAAGGCTCAGGAGACATGGACAGTATTTCCAAAGTGAGTATCTAATCAAATATTTGGAATTTTTAGAATATTTCACCTTAAACATAGTGGGTTTTTTGTTACAGAGTTTTTTGTTATGTGTCTACATTTTCTGCTTGTCAGCTCTTTGGAAGCTATGCAGACAACATCAGTATTAATTGAAAATTCAATAACAATATAATAAATGGGGAGTATAAGTAGAACTATTCCCTACTGCTTAATAATGTGTATTAATGAATGTGATTAATTATGTCCAGTTCATGATCTGATTGATCATGTTATAATCTTCCATACTGTTAAGACAAATGAATGTAGTTCTAATAATCAATTCTAGTTAAATGTAAATTTGGGGAAATGTCATTAGGATGTTACATTTATGCACTTCATGATTGCTTTCGTCACTTCTGTGAGGCTATCTTAATCATTAGTATTAAGTTCCTAAAAGCTACAATAAGAAGTATTTTCAGAAGAAGTACTATTTTGGTATCATAACTATTAAATAGTTGGAAATGAATGTGAATTTAACTTTAAGAGGTTTTGCATCAATGAAAATAATACTATGCTTGAATGTGTCACTTCTTCCATAAAAATTACTACACATGTAATCATTATTAATGTAGGAATTAATGAGCTTATTTGGTATTGTTAGAGTGACCTTTTAATACCTACATAATACTTTTTAATACCTGCATGCAGGATGTGTCCAAGTCTATTGCTGCTCCTGTGGGGGAGCAATCCTGTATTTTTGCACATTTTTAATATCTCTAACATTTTCAGGCTCTGCAAAATGATGGATTGAAATGACAGTTGCCTTAGTTGTGCTGTGCTTAGATGTGCAGTGATGGATTCAATAAAAGCCTCCAATAAGTTTATAACCATACAGCATTTTTTAAATCAATGCCCTTATCTTTTCTTCAGTATCTTTATTGCAAACTGCAGCATTTTTTAAGGCAAAACCCCAAAACATTTCCATTAGCTTGCCATAGGATTATTTTTAACAGCCTGTGTTCAGCGCACTGGTATTAAGTATCAGTCTATGTGCTAAATATCAGGAGCTCAGAAAATTTGGATCAAAAAATTTATCTGGAAGACTTGTAATCTGTTAACCTTAATAAATAACTCATGGAAATCATGTTTGACACATGTCTTTTTCAAATAACTAAAAGGAAAATGCTGTTCCAGTGATGGGCATTGTTCACTAAAGTTAATGTAACTTGGGGTGTGTGATGCTCAAGTTCAGGCACAGGGTGTCACTTGAGTAAAATGCCTGTTAGAGGAGCAGATGATACATTCCCAAGAGATGAGGAAAATCAATCCGGTCTTGGTAGAATCAGTACGTCTCAAAGATTTCAGAGCTGGTTTTTTCTAGAGAAGATTTTATTGTAATTGGCTGAATGTCAAAACATTAAGATTTTATGAAGTAGATTGAGATGGGAGAAGTAAATGAGCTGAAATGATGCATATTAAATAAACATTAATAACTAGTGATACTTGCAGTGCCCATGGAATTTGTGCAGGCATCAAAGACATTCTTGCTTTGGAGAAACCCAGCTAGTGCTACAAGGCTAGACCCCATACTGGCCATAAAAGCAGCCCAGGGGAGTTGCTACAGAAGTCTTTATGTCAGGAATTTGAACCTTTGGGGCTGGCGTACTGCGAAGATTGCAGAATTTGAAAGCTTTGCGCTACAAAGAGCAATATAAAACAGGGGTAAATCCCCCAGGAATGAACAAAAGGGGGGGAGCATCACATGAAATAAATGTGGCAAGGCCTTAGTGAGTTTTAAACTTTATATTCATATATTTTAAGGTGAGAAGGGACTGAAACATTGTGTAATATGACCTTTTGCATAACACAGGCAACAGGACTTCCCCTGATTAATTCCTGCTTAAGGTACAGTAGCTGTGGTTGAACCAAAGCAGTATTTTCAACATTTTCCAAGCTGTGGATCCTGAAATATTTGCAGTACTAAGTTTACTGAATAGCAAACTTAATTGTTTGATGTTAGTCAGCTAGTCAGGCTTTTACTTGCCTTTGATGGACATGTTGCCCAGTGATTCCTGAAGATCTGGGGATCACAGTTTGAGAAGCAGTTAACTAAGCTGAAGAAAGCAAAAGGCTTGGGTCAGGGGTTTTGACCCAACACTGGAAGCTACATTTCAGATGCCAATAAACAAGTTATGTTTGCATGCCGCTTGTGTCATCAATTTTATATTTAATCTGTAAGTAAAAATAAATACACCAAGATGAACTCATATACATACTTGGCCATTCAGACTGAGAATGGTCAAGAATTTTCCCTTAGGTAAATATGGTGAACGAGGAGCATGCAGAAGTATGGTATGAAGGGGAAGAAGAAGTCATAACTATCCCATCCCATTTTCTAATTCAGCAAGCACTCCAATGTACATCTTTGAAGTGCCAGGGTAGTATGGAGAGCCTTTGTAGTTCTAAGGGAAGTGCCAAGGAATGAAGGGGACTTTATCTTTCTTTAATGTTTCCAGTTTTTCATTCAAAGTTTGACCTATTGCAGATTTACTTACACTAAATGAAGACTGCATGCAGGTATTTTCAAAGTGCAAAATACCTCTTTGGTTTTTTTGGGTTTTTTTTAAAGAAGAAAGCTCTATGCTAACAGATATAGTGTGTCAGGATTATAAATGAGATAGCATAAAAAAGAGAGGACAAATTCACTTAGGATTCTTACAGCCATTATGATTTGGTCATTTTGATCAAGTTCACTACTTGGAGTTGCAGTTTGGTAGCTTGCCCGTTGACTGCACTAGGTTTTTGTTGAATTTATTATGACATACCAAATTTGCATTTATATAAGTAAAATCTCAACAGCAACAATGCATTGAGTTTTCTGGATCAGAAGAAAAACGATGAAGTGAAGAACTGTGATAGATGTAAATGTTTCATGCTGACATTCATGACTTCACTCACCACTTTCTCTGACTGCTCCTTTTCTATCACGAATCATCTATAAGTAGGAATCTTAACAGTGATGGAAAGAGAATTGCCCATGCTCCAGGCATAGTAGGGTACCGCCAATCAACTTTCTAAAAACACCTAATTGTAGTGGCTACAATAATCATGTATTGGCTATTGACTCAGAATAATTTCTGTGACAGTTACCTTGCTTCACCCTTTCTTTAAATAAGAGAATCCTGAAAGCATTTTCTGAACATTGCAGAGGTGGTTCTGCACTTCTGTAAGGGGGAGAAAAAAAGAAGCCAAGCCAAACGAAAGAAGAAATTTTATCTTTAGAGGTCTCTATATTGTTATTATTTATTAGAATGTCAGTCACACCTAGAGACTGAAAATGTTGCTTAAACCGCTGTTGTATTAAGGCTCTGTGCAAGCAAATGGCAAAAGTGCAGCTCCTCCTGTGAAAGAGTTTGTAAGCCCAGTTGTGTCCAGCTGTTACTCAGGAGTCTTTCGTCACAACACTCTTGTTAACTCTTTTACCTACGAATGCTGTGTGTTAGCTGTGTTCAGAGGTTTAGTACTTGAACCACATTTGTGACCTACTTGCAAAACTATTTCAATAAACCATGAACACTATGAGCAAAGACCCCCAGATGCAGGCCTTTGCGAAGGTCTGTGTAGACCAGGTCCATCCATATGTCTAAGTACGTATTTCTGAGTCACATATGTCACGGCATGCACTCATAGACTTCACTGCATTTGGCCACGTGATTTAATGTAGTGACAGAACTGCCTCATATCCTGATGCAGCTGTTGGTAGCTTCCTGGTTTTAGAAGATGCTGAATATAACCTGAAAGCAAGAACTGCAGGTAAATAATTCTTGCTTTAGGTCATTAGGAAACATTAGTTTACAGGTTAAAATTAGTGACCGAATCATGCAGAACCCTGCAGAGGCTTATTTCTTGTTTTTGAAAATCCTAGTGCATTGCACAGTGCATCTTAGTGCACTACAGTGTCATGTAAAGCATGCTTTTGGCACACTTGGTGAAGCTGGGAAATGGACTGCAATCTTCAACACTTAATCCGTATTTTAAAATCTTATTTAACAGAACTCTCCCAGTAATATGAGCATGAGTAATCAGCCTGGCACTCCCAGGGATGAAGGTGAGATGGGTGGAAACTTCCTCAACCCTTTTCAGAGTGAGAGCGTAAGTATTTCTTTACCCGTTTTCCTGTTTGTTTTGTTATTTCTTTTTACTTTGTGAACCCTTATTTCTGTAATTGTGTTTAAAAAAAAGAAAAAATATAGTAATAACATTTTTGTAGTTATTTCTAATGCAGTCCTGTGCCTTATGTTCTTACTTGGTTCTAAAATTATAGTACTTTTGGATTTGGCAAAACATTGTGCAAAAGACTGCTAAAAGTTGAGCTGAAACTGGAAAATGTGGGAAGTGTAGATTTACTACAGAAATTGCTAGATTAAGAGGTCAGTTATCACTGAAAGATCTGTTAAACAGTAATAATTATGCCTCACGTATTCAACAGTGCACAGTGGGTGTTAGGCAATATCCAAGCAGCCTAAATACACATAGTTAACAGATCCTTACACCTGAGTGTTTTCAATGTGTGGTTGCCCAGCCTTTAACTCGTAAACAATGTGTTTTGTAGGGAATGTCTTTTGCAACAGGGTTTTCACTGAAGGATATGATCAGAGCATCAGAGCACCAGTAGATCTCACGTTGCAAAGATGCAGTGTCCTGTTAGAGCCAGAAAAAGCAAAGGTTCCCTCTAGTGTTCATTCAGGCTTTTTGAAATGGAGAATGCTTGAGGCAGCAAAATGTAGTATAAACTACATTACAGAGCAAGCCCACAGTATTTTCATACTCGTGCCTGAATCTTTATAAATCCACATTTAGGTTCCTAAATAGGAGTGGCCTGATTTTTCAGAAGTGCTGAGTGACTTCAACACTTCTGTTCCTATTGGAAATCACTGCTGCCCAAAGTGAGTGCAACTTCATTAACTGTGGAGTGGGAAACTTCAGCTCCGCTGTTATGACTAGTAAACTGTCCAGTCACAAAACAGTTGAATTTCATGGCAAATTTAACGGGAATCAGATTGGGGGTGGGGGTGGGTTTGCTCTTTTAACCTAGTGAAGAGGCAGACTTTCTGCATGTTAGCTGTTGATGTCTTCATAGCAAGGGCAGATTGTGTGGAATATTCAAGAAAATTGGGGTTTACAGGTCAAAAAGGCTGATGTTTCAACATCTGCCAAAAAAAAACAGTCATCACAGAACCTCCATTAAATGTGATGGTAATCCTTGACTCTCAATTTGGCATACTTAGCTTGTACTGAGGGCAGGCAGTCTGATTGGCAGGCAGGCCAGTTCACCAAACTAAAGCCATGAAAAGAAGGACATCAGTTGTACTCAAAAGTACATCAGTTTTCTCAGACACTTGCTGGATTCTAGGTGTACCTAGATGTTGTTTACCTACCTGGAAGAGCCTGGGACTCAGTTTTCCCAAGGTTTGACGTGAGATGTATGACTACAAGGCATGCATTATACATGCCACGTGCATTTAGGTATGGGTTCCTCTCTAACACGAGTCACACTGTAGTCCTTGAGAACTGTTTTGCTTTCTGATTATTTGGCTACTTACAGTAGGCATTATTATGAAGTCTTTCGCAGGCAAACTTCTTGTTCACCAGGAGTTTTGTTTGGGGGTGGGGAACAGTGCTTGGCTAATAATAAGTTAAAAATCACAAACACATTTAAGTATCTTTTGATTCCTTATCGAACGTGATTACTCAGGTACTTTGGCATGGTACAGGAAAACACTTAAACATAGGCTTTGCTTTAAGCATTTGGGCTGGTCTCTGTGGCTAAAGGTAAGCATGATCTTACTAGTTTAGCTGTCCCACTGTAGTGGGAAGTAGCCCTAAAGCAGGCAAAACATCAGAGACATGACAAGGGACAAATAGACTTTACCTAAGCAGTCCATTACCATACCCAAATAGTCCATTCTATGTAGTTTACATGACTGGGAAGACCCATCCAAGATGCTTTTTCTAATATGCTTGGTGGGAAATGGACAGCTTGAAACTCTGGCTTTGGCAGGATTTTTATTGCATATCCGTTCTTGCAAAGGCAAATTTATCTTTGTGTTTCTTAATCGGTTTTCATAATGCTAATACTTCTTGCATTTGAATGTTTTCCTCTACTTAGATTTTAGGCCAAATTAAGTGTTGCTGCAGTCTGCAGTTTTAAATTTAAAAACAAATTAGGCATATAGATATGCACTTCTTCTAGGCGTTGTGGTGTCCCATTGATTATTGTGATGAAGTACTGCTAACTTGAGGGAAACTATAGCTTGTATAAGGGCTGCAGTTCAATTTGTGTTACAGTAATAATGTAATGTGGTGATTCAATTCCTGTTTCACGTAAAACAGAATGACCACTGATGCTTGATTCAGTTTGCCTCCTAAAACTGGTAATACAGAATAATGCAGACCAAAAGCCTAGTTTAATTCCAGTCTTACATACCTTTACTCCTTTCTTCCCATAAAGTAATAAAAAGCTCTCCAAAATATTTATGTGGTTCAACTAACCATAAATGCAACTGGCCTTCTTGAGATGAGTTAAATCCCCCCAGTATACCAACATTGACCAGGAAAAAGTGTGGAAAGCATCAGTGGGGTATTGGTTCATCACACCACTCAGGTAAGAACAAAAGACTCTTCAAGAGAGTTGACTTTATAGTGAGAGAAGTATCACAGAAGTTATAATACCACAAATTGAACTACAGCCTCAGGCTACAGGACAATTTTAGGAGGAAGTTCAAAGAGCATGTTGACATGTGAACCCATTGCTGTGGTCCAGAACTGGGTTTAGTTACCTGGGGGGTGGGAAAAATGGTTGTTAAAATGTGGATTCCTCTTTTTCCAGTACTCCCCTAGCATGACAATGAGTGTGTGATCCGTTAACAAGTCTCGCCATGAAGACCACAGTGAGTTGGCCCTCTTCAGAGAGCTACTGCAGAAGAAAATTATTCATCCCAGTGTACAGTTTAACAAAAGGATCTCAGACACAATCAGACCCACCCTTTTTTTTTTTTCTACCATCTCCCCCTTTTGTCAAGAAAGTGGGTCCCAAACATGATTGAGACAACTGTAAAGAGTGGCATTAAGAGAACTGCCCAAGATGGAACTGCAAACAATTATCTGTGTATGTACATGTGTGGGTTGATGTGTGTGTATGTTTGTGTGATATAGAAATACACACATACATACATAGACCCGCAGGACATCATTGTAAAATATTATCACATGACATCTTAACTAGAAATGAGATGTAGGGACTTTTTTTCCTTCTTTTTTTTTCACGTTTACATTTTAATTATTAAAACTTGCTTTCCCTCTCCCCTCCTGAACTGTTTTATGTTGCATATATCACTGCTTTATAAGTTATTTTTAAGGTGAACTCAAAATGATAAATTCTTCTGATTTTGTTAATGTCTGCCATTATAGATAGGAATAAAATTGCTTATAAGAGCTTTCATTAACTTGTGTTTGATACCAGTTACCCTGTGAATCACAAACTGTACTGTCTCAAGAAATAGAAGAAAGCTCGTCTTAAATTTTTTTGAGAAATTTAATAATTTTCACTTAGTTTGGGGATTTTTTTTTATACTTTGCCTTTAAAAAAAGAAGCACTGAAGGTTATTTTCTTCTTCTTTAATTGAAGCCTAATATCTGCAATATCTGTTTTAAATGGAAGCCTGAATTTGATACAAGATTCTCAGTTTATATAGAGTACTATAAGGTTACTGTAAGTGAGCTCCAATTGCTATAGAATCTAGCAATAAAAAGTCAGGGCTTCTTGTGCCCCTGGAAATGAGTTTTGTATTTAGCATGATCTTCCATAGGAGTGGTTGTACAGTAGAGTCCTTACCACCAAAACCTTTTCTAACAATTACGTTTTCCCATTTTCAGTGATTCTCAACCAGATGGTAACAATCCAATTATAAACAGCATTTCCCAAGCCCATTCAGAAAATCAGGTCATCCTACTATCCGGGTGTGTATTTTTCATCACATTACCAGAAATAATTCTTCAAAATTTTCAGTAAATAGCCTTTTTCTTTCTTTTTTTTCTTTTTTTTTTTTTTTTTTTTTTTTTGAGCCAAAATGATGCAGTAAACTTTTCATGACTGCTGGCCTTATGAGGGTCTCACTTTTGCCATAAACAGAAGAGAAAATAAGGTGTGGCCCATTTTATAAGGAGGTCAGCCTGTTTTAGACATGAAGGCTGAGGACAGGATGGAGAAAGGGCATATGGTCTTAAAGGAAATGCTTCTGGAAGCAATCCCATGTGTCTTCAGGCAAAGCTCTAAAATCAAGGTTATGGCACCTGTAGTTCCTAATGACTTTCAGCTCCCCCAAGAAAACAAAAGTTTTCAGTTGTGTAGTGATCAAAAGGTTGATGATCAGCAATGAGGCCAGGAAGAGGCTGAACAAAAGTTCATGCCTCCTTGGATTTTGCATACAGAAGAGCCACTTCCATAGGAGGAGCAGTTCTGAGATGTGCTATGGCCGTGAAGTCTTGCAAGGACATTTTTTTCATCAACTTATATGATAAGGAAGGACATCTGGCATCTAATGGACTCCTTGTTTTAGCAGCTGCACACAATGGGATGTGCAAGGAATACTACAATCTCTTATCTCATTTTTATTTACATATATTATATGTCTAATATATTAATACATATAATATATGAAAATAAAAAGGTGTAACACTTGTTACTCTCTTGTTAGAGGTATTTAAAGATGAAACTCTTGGAGGCTTAAAATTACGTTAAAATATCAAAGATTTTGGCAGCATTACTTTCTAGTGATAATAACTACTTTGATTAGTTGTAAACATAAACTAAATAGTCATTACATGATTTTGCAGACTTAATTCCCAGTGATTATGAAGGTTACATTCATCTGCTTATCTTTAGAAAACACTCCGTTGCTGTCCCAAAAGATGCTAGAAGCCCGTACTATTGATTTGAGTTACAAAACCACAAAAGTCAGATCTAGTTTCCTCAGACCGTTTGCTGTTGTCACTGACACCACTGATTGCAGTGGATTTGTCCCCAGTGCGCTGCAGAGTCCAGGTGTCCTTGCAGCCTGCATTTGACGCCTGTATTATTCACGGTAGTCTTCCATGAAGGTCCTTTGTGCCCAGCCAGGTGGTCACTTGCCACTGGGCTAAGATAAATGGATATGCCTGGACTATGCATCAAGTGCCAAAGTCCATTCATGCACCAAGTGTGCCCCCGAGTGAGCTCTTAAACCGCTGAATGCATGTGGGGTCTGTTCTGTGCTGTCCTGTGCCATGCTGGGGCTCCAGCAGGCAAACAGTGTGTCCAGCGGCCACCTGACAGCATCACTGGGGGCTCTGTTACGAGACAGAGTATGTGCCACTGGAGCTTTGTACCGAGGCACAATTAAGCAGAGTAATCACAGACTTGATTATTTTTTCTTTCTGAATTTTGCATTATCTGCAATATTTTAGCTTATAGGCACCTGTTAAGGATGAAAGTCTGACCATTAAATTAAAGCTGTGCAGAGAAGCACCTTAAACACAACTGCCAGCACATACTGAATATAATTTTAAAAATATCTTATCCTAGTTTATATGTAACATCCTTTCAGGCACATAAATTTTCTTCTGTAGCTCTTTCAAACTCCTTTCAATGCAATTTTTCTTGCTGCCAGCATGTCTTTGTTTCCCCTTTCTGTTTCTTTTCCAAACCATTTGTACAGATCAAAACATTTATAATACTGTTACACTGATCCTGCCGTGTTAATCTGGGTAAATACATTCCTGGCTTCAGAAAGAACAGGCCCTGCTTCCTGTAGCCTGTCCTTCACTGCAAGTTACTAAGTATGTCCAGCACCTCTCATACCCACATAGTCCCACAGACTGGGGGAACAAAAGATGTGCAAGCCTGCAAAATTTTAGATTTGGAAAATCTCCTTGAATATTCACTGCATATCTTAATTGCTAGAATTGTAATCATATATAATGAAACATAATCATCTGCTTTCTGTAGCGGATACTTACATCCCTATGCTTATGTACATGAGTAGTTAGTTACATGTGCATTGCTAAGCCCAGGTGATAATAACCATACATAGTTTTCTGCAGCTGAACTATAAGAAAGCAGTCTTATGTGCTAAATATTCAACTTTAAAAATAAAAGGTGTCCCTTTGGGTGTTGGTTTGGTTTGTTGGTTTTGGCTTTTGTTTTTTTTAATATGCATAGAGCTCTTTGCTTATTCAGTTCTTTTCTTTCTTTTGGTTATAAATCCTTGTAGGATTTCCAACATATCTAGAGCATTAACATGGAAAGACTGTTTTTAAGCATTGACTTACTACTCCCACTTACATTTCTAATACATTTGATACCAGTGTGTAACGTAACTGCTTGTTTATACCTTTTGTTACACAACAGCATTACTGTCAGAGCTTGTCCAGCTCTAGGAGGAATTCTATTTTAAGTAAGTGATGCAGGATAGTTTTTCCGCACTGGGTTTTTACGTAGATTTCTCTTTTTAATACAGTAATAAATATATCATGGTCCTGTAAATGGTTCTTTCAGGCAAAGTCAAAGTAGGGCTTTTTAAAAACAGAAGTGATAAAACCTTAGAGTATCAGAAATAGGGAGTAATGGATGTCTCATACTGTGACAATTCTGGCAAATAGTCTGGCCTTGTACAAATCAGCTGAAATTAGGACTGACTTGTGAATTTCACAGTGAAACTTTATCTGCTGCATAAACCTATGAAAAGGAGTGTTCTCACCCAGATTTTATCTCCAGGTCTAATTCTTGCATAGGCAAGAACCAGATTTAGGGCAAAGAAGCAGCGGTATGAATCACATGTAAAGCATGTGGCCTGACATGCACATTAAAAAAATATCTGGATATTTGCATGTGGGGGTTAAATTATTTTCTTAATTGCAGGAGCATGAGGAAGAAATGCAGTTGCACTGCGGTGCTCCCCCCTCCACTGTACATTGAGTTTGGTGCATGTAAAAAACATAGCAATAACATTGAGTCTTTGACATGCTGCCCAGTGACATAAATGTGCCTCAGCTTGACTCAAAGGCATCTCAGAGTGACAGTCCCCAGATCAGAGGATCATACATCAGCCCATGGCTGAGGCCGGATTTGCCATTTTTTGTTTGGAAGCCCCTGTGGTTGCAGAGCTCAGACCACCTAGTGGGTCACACACTCAGAGATGGCAACAACTTTCAGACTTAACCAGCCTGCTTCCCTCAGTGTTGGATAAAATGCTCCATGTCCCAAGATATCCAGCTGTTCCTTTTCCTTGCAGTGGGAATACACACTAATAAATATGTAGGTTGTTTATTTATTTTGAATAATTCAAATTAGGAAGAAGTGGACAGTCTTGCTTCTTTACGGATACCAGTTCATATGTCAAAAGGACAGCTTCTTGAGCTGGCTAGAAATCATTTGAATTTTCTCATGTTCTGTGGCTAGCAAATGAAATACTGCCTGTAAAGATGATTTGGAATTAGATGGGTAATTTAATGAGGGACCAGCTGTTCCAGTATTCAGTGTTGAACATTTTATTCTTTTTCTTCCCTTTACCAGTTGGAATGAATTTTCAGCTGATATATACTGCAGTGATTTCTATTTCTCAGCTCAGTTAATTATTTTTAAGTGTTATCTCCTGTTCATAGTCAGCTTTGATTCTTTTTTGTTGTGGTGGCTAAATAAGGACTGGAGTCTTCCAAGATTTGACCCTACGCATTTGCATTTGGAGAATGTAAAATGAAGCTTAACAATGAAAAAGAAAAAGAAAAAAAAAAAAAGAAAAAGATCAGTACAGGTGATTTTTATTTTTCTTTAATTCACTGTAAGTGATATAGCCATGGTTCCTGTCCCAAACACACTTGGGTTTGGTCAGGCCCAAAGGATGAGAATCCTGACAAAAGCACATCTTTCAAATAAAACTCAAAAATACTCTTCCAACAGTGACAGCTCATTTCTCTTCAGAGTGATCACACTTACAGATCTAATTCAGGATTTAATGATATGAAACAACTATAAACATTCAATACACTCAGAGATAAATGAGTTAGATCAAATGTTACTGTGTGCGGCTTCCTCTACTTTCCTGACAGCCCTGTAAGCTGCTGCTCATGCCAGGTGTGCTGCTGAAACTGATGAAACCACTCACGTAAGGTCACTTTTTTGGTAGGATTTCACCCTGATCTGGATGAAGTATGTAATTTATCCAAGATGTGACATTATTTGGCAGATGTATGAACTGAATACACAGAGCAAAATACAGGGGGTCTGTTGAAATTACAAAAATTATGTTTCAACCTGAAGAAAACCCAACCAAAACCAAGAAAAAGTCCTTATCTGAAATACTGCTTTGAGTGCATGCTTGCAGATTGTCTCCCAGTGTTGTTATCTTGGGGAGGAAAAAAATAATACAGTAACAAATCATCTCTTCAGCACATTAAAACTCTGATCCTGCAAACACAGGCAGATTTGTTTGAAATTAAGCCTGCACTTGGTTAATTTTAAACAGATTTAAGAATACAGGTAGTATCCTTCAGGAAAGCGGGACTGCTAAGACACTATAACCATGCTTGAGCATGAACAGTCTAGAAGCTCAAATTTAGTCTTCCCTAAGCAGACATTATTTTAAAGATTCTACCAATGCAGGAGCATGTTTATGTATTGGTAGTACTGATATGCAGAACAGATTTGGCTTTCTTCTGTTTCTTATTTTATTAGAGCGTTGC